TTAAAACGCTCATAACTCCTTAAATATTGACATTTCGGGGTTTTTAGCACCGTTTTGATTGCAGTTTCTTAAAGAGGAAAAATAGCCTATTTTAAAACGCTCATAACTCCTTAAATATTGACATTTCGGGGTTTTTAGCATCGTTTTGATTGCAGTTTCTTAAAGAGGAAAAATAGCCTATTTTAAAACGCTCATAACTCCTTAAATATTGACATTTCGGGGTTTTTAGCATCGTTTTGATTGAAGATTTTTAAGGAGGAAAAATAGCCTATTTTAAAACGCTCATAACTCCTTAAATATTGACATTTCGGGGTTTTTAGCATCGTTTTGATTGCAGTTTCTTAAAGAGGAAAAATAGCCTATTTTAAAACGCTCATAACTCCTTAAATATTGACATTTCGGGGTTTTTAGCATCGTTTTGATTGCAGTTTCTTAAAGAGGAAAAATAGCCTATTTTAAAACGCTCATAACTCCTTAAATATTGACATTTCGGGGTTTTTAGCATCGTTTTGATTGCAGTTTCTTAAAGAGGAAAACTAGCCTATTTTAAAACGCTCATAACTCCTTAAATATTGACATTTCGGGGTTTTCAGCATCGTTTTGATTGCAGTTTCTTAAAGAGGAAAAATAGCCTATTTTAAAACGCTCATAACTCCTTAAATATTGACATTTCGGGGTTTTTAGCATCGTTTTGATTGACGATTTTTAAAGAGGAAAAATAGCCTATTTTAAAACGCTCATAACTCCTTAAATATTGACATTTCGGGGTTTTTAGCATCGTTTTGATTGACGATTTTTAAAGAGGAAAAATAGCCTATTTTAAAACGCCCATAACTCCTTAAATATTGACATTTCGGGGTTTTTAGCATCGTTTTGATTGCAGTTTCTTAAAGAGGAAAAATAGCCTATTTTAAAACGCTCATAACTCCTTAAATATTGACATTTCGAGGTTTTTAGAATCGTTTTGATTTACGATTTTTAAAGAGGAAAAATAGCCTATTTTAAAACGCTCATAACTCCTTAAATATTGACATTTCGGGGTTTTTAGCATCGTTTTGATTGCAGTTTCTTAAAGAGGAAAAATAGCCTATTTTAAAACGCTCATAACTCCTTAAATATTGACATTTCGGGGTTTTTAGCATCGTTTTGATTGACGATTTTTAAAGAGGAAAAATAGCCTATTTTAAAACGCTCATAACTCCTTAAATATTGACATTTCGGGGTTTTTAGCATCGTTTTGATTGCAGTTTCTTAAAGAGGAAAAATAGCCTATTTTAAAACGCTCATAACTCTTTAAATATTGACATTTCGGGGTTTTTAGCATCGTTTTGATTGCAGTTTCATAAAGAGGAAAAATAGCCTATTTTAAAACGCTCATAAATCCTTAAATATTGACATTTCGGGGTTTGTAGCATCGTTTTGATTGCAGTTTCATAAAGAGGAAAAATAGCCTATTTTAAAACGCTCATAACTCCTTAAATATTGACATTTCGGGGTTTTTAGCATCGTTTTGATTGCAGTTTCTTAAAGAGGAAAAATAGCCTATTTTAAAACGCTCATAACTCTTTAAATATTGACATTTCCGGGTTTTTAGCATCGTTTTGATTGCAGTTTCTTAAAGAGGAAAAATAGCCTATTTAAAACGCTCATAACTCCTTAAATATTGACATTTCGGGGTTTTTAGGATCGTTTTGATTGCAGTTTCTTAAAGAGGAAAAATAGCCTATTTTAAAACGCTCATAACTCCTTAAATATTGACATTTCGAGGTTTTTAGCATCGTTTTGATTGCAGTTTCTTAAGGAGGAAAAGTAGCCTATTTTAAAACGCTCATAAATCCTTAAATATTGACATTTCGGGGTTTTTAGCATCGTTTTGATTGCAGTTTCTTAAAGAGGAAAAATAGCCTATTTTAAAACGCTCATAACTCCTTAAATATTGACATTTCGGGGTTTTTAGCATCGTTTTGATTGCAGTTTCTTAAAGAGGAAAAATAGCCTATTTTAAAACGCTCATAACTCTTTAAATATTGACATTTCGGGGTTTTTAGCATCGTTTTGATTGCAGTTTCTTAAAGAGGAAAAATAGCCTATTTTAAAACGCTCATAACTCCTTAAATATTGACATTTCGGGGTTTTTAGCATCGTTTTGATTGCAGTTTCTTAAAGAGGAAAAATAGCCTATTTTAAAACGCTCATAAGTCCTTAAATATTGACATTTCGGGGTTTTTAGCATCGTTTTGATTGCAGTTTCTTAAAGAGGAAAAATAGCCTATTTTAAAACGCTCATAACTCCTTAAATATTGACATTTCGGGGTTTTTAGCATCGTTTTGATTGCAGTTTCTTAAAGAGGAAAAATAGCCTATTTTAAAACGCTCATAACTCTTTAAATATTGACATTTCGGGGTTTTTAGCATCGTTTTGATTGCAGTTTCTTAAAGAGGAAAAATAGCCTATTTTAAAACGCTCATAACTCCTTAAATATTGACATTTCGGGGTTTTCAGAATCGTTTTGATTGCAGTTTCTTAAAGAGGAAAAATAGCCTATTTTAAAACGCTCATAACTCCTTAAATATTGACATTTCGGGGTTTTTAGCATCGTTTTGATTGCAGTTTCTTAAAGAGGAAAAATAGCCTATTTTAAAACGCTCATAACTCTTTAAATATTGACATTTCGGGGTTTTTAGCATCGTTTTGATTGAGGATTTTTAAAGAGGAAAAATAGCCTATTTTAAAACGCTCATAACTCCTTAAATATTGACATTTCGGGGTTTTTAGCATCGTTTTGATTGCAGTTTCTTAAAGAGGAAAAATAGCCTATTTTAAAACGCTCATAACTCCTTAAATATTGACATTTCGGGGTTTTTAGCATCGTTTTGATTGACGATTTTTAAAGAGGAAAAATAGCCTATTTTAAAACGCTCATAACTCCTTAAATATTGACATTTCGGGGTTTTTAGCATCGTTTTGATTGCCGATTTTTAAAGAGGAAAAATAGCCTATTTTAAAACGCTCATAACTCCTTAAATATTGACATTTCGGGGTTTTTAGCATCGTTTTGATTGCCGATTTTTAAAGAGGAAAAATAGCCTATTTTAAAACGCTCATAACTCCTTAAATATTGACATTTCGGGGTTTTTAGCATCGTTTTGATTGCAGTTTCTTAAAGAGGAAAAATAGCCTATTTTAAAACGCTTATAACTCCTTAAATATTGACATTTCGGGGTTTTTAGCATCGTTTTGATTGCAGTTTCTGAAAGAGGAAAAATAGCCTATTTTAAAACGCTCATAACTCCTTAAATATTGACATTTCGGGGTTTTTAGCATCGTTTTGATTGACGATTTTTAAAGAGGAAAAATAGCCTATTTTAAAACGCTCATAACTCCTTAAATATTGACATTTCGGGGTTTTTAGCATCGTTTTGATTGACGATTTTTAGAGAGGAAAAATAGCCTATTTTAAAACGCTCATAACTCCTTAAATATTGACATTTCGGGGTTTTTAGCATCGTTTTGATTGCAGTTTCTTAAAGAGGAAAAATAGCCTATTTTAAAACGTTCATAACTCCTTAAATATTGACATTTCGGGGTTTTTAGCATCGTTTTGATTGACGATTTTTAAAGAGGAAAAATAGCCTATTTTAAAACGCTCATAACTCCTTAAATATTGACATTTCGGGGTTTTTAGCATCGTTTTGATTGCCGATTTTTAAAGAGGAAAAATAGCCTATTTTAAAACGCTCATAACTCCTTAAATATTGACATTTCGGGGTTTTTAGTATCGTTTTGATTGCAGTTTCTTAAAGAGGAAAAATAGCCTATTTTAAAACGCTTATAACTCCTTAAATATTGACATTTCGGGGTTTTAAAAAAATGTTTACAAATTCGAAAATAATTATATACTACACCACAAGGTGGTCAGGGTATTATGTTTTTGTGCATTTGTTTGTTACAGGCAAAAGGAAACAAGATAGACCCATAGTTCCTTTTGATGATCTGCATAGAATCTTATTCTTAGTCGATTTTTACATGTCCGTCCGTCCGTCTGTCCATGTATTTTTGTAAACAAAGTACAGTTCGCATTTATTACCCTATCCAGATGAACACAAATACTTTGCTTGGCCCAAAGACGAACCCTATTGAAATTGGAGATAATCGGTCAAAATTTAGATATAGCTCCCGTATATATCTTCGTCCGATATGCCTTTTATTGTTCAGATATAGCCATAGCTCCCATATGTATAGTTCATCCGATTTGTTATTTTTGTCCTCCGCAGCCGTAATATACACTCTATAACAACAATATTTGGGGAAATATATCAAATACAGCTCAGAAAGACATTTGATAAGTTTTATCGAGGTCGGTTCAGATTTGGGTATAGCTCCCATATATAACTTCGTCCGATTTACCTTTTATTGTGCACCAAACGTCTAATATTTGTCCCAATGGGATGGAATTTGGCTCTTACTACCGAATTGAGTCTAGAAGCTTGTGTTGAAGATCGGTTCAGATATAGCTATAGCTCCCATATATACTGTTCATTCGATTTGTTATATTTGTTACCCACAGCCGTAATATGCACTCCGTAACAACATTATTTAGGGAAATATATGAAGTACAGCTCAAAAATATCTTTGCCAAATTTTATCAAGATCGGTCCCGATTTGGATATAGCTCCCATATATATCTATATCCGATTTCAAATTAATTGTGCACCAAATGGGCAATACAAGTCCGAATTTAAAAGATACAAATGTTTCTGCATATTTAGTCCATTGAACTTTGTAATTATAATCAAATTGGATTGACCACAATCATTGTTCATTGTCCCAGCAGCTGTGTCGATGCGATTGCCTGTATTCTTCTACCATGATGTGTACTCTGTCTTAAGAAGAACTCGCAAATTGTACGATATATCTTACCCTAGTTTCCAATCATGTCATAACGGCGTTAAAAACATTTCGCATAGCCCATGGCATATTTCAACGGCGTTTGAATTTGTCATCGAAATACTCTGTTTTCGTTTTGGCAACTTGAAAGGGTTTTCTCATCTGCTCGTGTTAAGAAATCTAAATTTTGTGGTGCAAAATGTTGAACGCTTCCCAATTATTGTTGGCCCGTAACATTTCCAAGGCTATGGTTAGATTCCACAGCCATGGTGGCATTCCCGGAGAGGTATGTTAATTAAAGAAAAAAAATGAATACAAAAAAATATGTTAGTACATGAGATGAGAGGTTTCATGTGGTTACATAATTTGTGAAAAATATTACCCCAAAGGAACCTGTGATTTAATTGGTGTTCTCCTTTTCTTATTCCAGAACTTGCCCTTCAGCTTGAAGAACCGCTACAAGCTTACAGCCATTTTCACCACATTCACTGTTTTGGGTTTCGGCTCACCCTTCTTGATTGTCAGACATCAATTGTTGAAGGCCTAAACGGAGAGTAATTTTAGGTTAGTATCTAGCGGGGAAAAATAGTGGAAAGTTATGATAGGCACAGGTATATGATGAAAACAATTCGATTTGAAAATTCATAAAATAGTAGTAAAATATTTCGAATATGCTTTAAATTCCTTATTGGTCTGCTCCAGAACCTGCAAGAATCTACTAGTTTTGTAATTTTCTCCGATAACATAAAGAGAAAATCGGTTATCGTAGTAAAAACTTTTACATTCTTGCAGTTCTGGAACAGACCATATATTGGGAACACAAGTCGAGTTGATTTTCATTTTATACCTGAAACGAAATAATTGTTGGAAGTGTAGACTAGGGTACACCCACTTCACAAACATGCAATAATTACTTAGAATTAAATCTTTTATTCAAGAAATTAATCGAACTACTTCATAACTTTTCTTTCGAGGAGAATATTTTATAAATGTAAAATGACCAACCATTTTTATTTCTTCCATTTACAGATTATTTGTTTGGTGTTAAGACAAAAGTGATGTCAAATCATTTTCCAAAAAAATCGAAAATGGTTTATAAGATGTAAAGTTAAATCAATTAACGTGAAATATAAGTGAAAATAAACCAAAAAATGATGTGTTTTTTATTTCAATATAATTAATCCTGGGACAAATAAATTCGACTTTAAACGCAGGCGAATTACCGAAAAATGTAATATGTACATTTTCCAAGATTTTACTAATTTTGAACCTCACTTAGAACAAAGAAAAAGTGGAGAAACCATAGAATATTTTTTTAAGAGTTGTAGCAGTTGGGGATATCACTACAGAAATTCTACTCCATATTTAGACTACCACTTAACATTCGCCATGGAATTTCTTGATAAACCAAGTAACCCTTTTGTAATATTTCATAACTACAATTTCATTTATTTTACACAAACAGTATCGATATTTGAAAATAGAAAAACTGAAAAATGTTAAATATTACAAAGAATTTTTTGCGCATCTATCCTAAACCAATTTTGGGTCAGAATTACGTTATTCGCCACTATAAAGGTGGTGTGCCGGGATGTGTAAGTACATGCCGTCATTGCTATCATAAAATCGCGCATAATTATTGCCTTTCTTCCTCAAGAATTTGCCATTTAAGTTGGACAAACCATATCGATTTACGGTGTTTTATTTGGTGGCCGGTGTCATTGGTTTTGGTGCCCCATGGTTGGTGGTCATGCATCAAATGCTGAGACCTTATGATTATGAATAAATGAATTATCTAAATGATACTTTAATACACGGTTTAATATAAAAAACGAACGACTGATTTAAAATCAAATTGATTCGTAGCTTGTTTTCGTTTCTCTTGCGCTCAGCTTATGTATGTGCTGTTTCACCAAAGTCAAGACATAAATGAAGAAAACACTGAAGTTGGTACAACTTGCGCTCGCACGCACCAACAGTTGGCCCAACTTACGAAATTATCAAAAATTTTTGATATTTCCAACCAACCTCAACCAACTTTCGAAAAAGTTGTACAACTAGCCCTCAGACGCACCAATAGTTGTACCAACTTGTCAGAAGTTGGGTCAAGTGTTGGTGTATCTAAGGGCAGCTTTATAGAAGTTGGGAAATTCTTGTTAACTCATATTTCCGAGAATACTACACCTTTGGTATAGACTATCACGCATGGTAGAAGAATACAGGTAGATGCATCAACGCTTGGGAACATTGATATGTCAAAAAAATTTAAAAGTTTTTTCTTCTACCATGCTATCACGATATTAAGCTTTATAGAGATCTGTTTTCAAAAAGATATCTACATTTACATCGAAGATCTAATGTGTGGCCGGGAGGCCTTAAAGTAGAGTACACATTATCAATATTAATTATCAGAAGAATACAGTTAGACACATCGACACAGCTGCCGGGACAATGAACTGTCAAACCAATTTTGAAATTGAAAATGTTGAATGAAAAATTATTTGAATTTGCAAAAATTGTTGAAAAATGCATATCATAACCACCTCCAAATGGCATAGTATAAGAAAACATATAAAAATCTACTTATTTTTGAAGACATTTTTTTGACATATCAATGTTCCTAAGCGTTGATGCATCCACCTGTATTCTTCTACCACGAGACAGACAAACTCAGCAAATTGTATGTATTCATTATGCATTAATTTGCTTAAAATGAATATATTCAACTAGATTTTCAATACAACAAGTAAAAAAGCAGTAAATTCGGTCTGGAGGATTTTTGAATACCCTCCACAATTTGGAACGAATTTGGCAATTTAAAAAGATCCGTTAAAAATTTTGTTAAAATCCTAAAAATACAGAATGTAGTCATTATATTAGGGTCTATACGACGTCGTGGACCTGCATAGACAATTTTTGTAATAAGACATTACAATATTCAAATGCGATACTTGAAAAAGGAAATTCAGTGAATAATGTAGTTAAAATCATCAAAATACCGAATATAGGGAGCTGCCGTTATATAAGGGCTTTACGAAGACGTGGAACTGCACAGACAATTTTCTGTCGTAGATTGTAGTATTCATTACGAACTTCAAACACCAAATTTGAAACAATTCCGGTGAATAATGAAGCTAAAAGCATCAAAATACCGAATACGAAGACCTGGACCCACATGACCCATTTTCGATACCAAAAGTCCTGCAGACATAATACACATTTGAGTAAAATTTTATCAACCTACTTCATTTCTTTCGGAAGCTAGAGTGATTTCCACAGACATCGCTAAATCGATTTAGAATTTTGTGCCGACCGACAATATATATACTTTGTGGGGTCTAAAATATATATTTCGAGGTGTTGCAAACGGAATGACAATCTTAATATACCCTCCATACTATGGTGGAGGGTATAAAAAGAGCTCATCTCACGACCGGATATATTTTAAATTCGATGCGGTATCTACATACTAGCAGAAAACATCTCTGGGCAAGGCACTACTGATGTGAATGAATACTTATTTTTCAACATCAATTGTCAGTTATTAGCCTTTTTAATCACAATTTTTGGTTATTTTTTGAATTCTTTTTTAAACAAACATAATTAGATCAGCATTTATATTCTCCTAAGTGTGTATCTAAACACACAAGTTTAACCTAACGCCCAAATGTTTGCCTTAAATACTGCATAAATTTTCTGAATTTGATGTGTGGCCCCTCTTCTTTATATTGAATATGCATCGCGCTTATATACAACTTTTATCAAGCCTGCAGTATTCAATTGTTGGATTGATGCTTGTTACAATAAGAAGTAAAACTGTGGTGTCATGGTACAATAAGAAGGTAGAACAGTTTATTTATTTGATATTTTTCCTTATTTTTAAAATATGCAAATAGCGCGAAAAATGAAGAATATACTTGGAATGACTTTCAATCTTTCGATTCCATGGCAAAACTTGTTAATATCTTTAATACACGCCCCGCAGTACACTTTTGCCCCAATCATTGATTTTGAATATATTTTGTTTATTTTTTACAAAACAATAAATATGGAAAATTGGCAGAATTTGGCACAAAAAACTGTCTCTCCGACCTTTTCTAAAATGTATATGGCAATTCGTGTCAACACTGGACATAAAGTTAGCTTGAACCAAAGAATTGGATGTGTGACTCGCAACCTTTAAAATGTATACAAAGTGAACGATTGTACTAGTTTTATCAACTCTGAAGTACGACATTATTCTTGTTTTTGTGTTGTGTTTCGTTCAGTCATACGCGCGCCATATTGCAAAAGTTCGTTCAGTCAAAGATCCGTGTCGTCAGCTGGCGTTTAATTTCTCTATTCATATCGTGTCGCTAGTTTTTCAAGTTTTTTTCAGAGGAAAAAGGAGAAAAATTAAAATTCCTTATAAAAAGAAAAATTGTTAAAAAACGAATGCAGTTGTACGGTTGAAAAGTTTGCCTCGAAAAGAAAATCTTTAAAACTTTGTAGTTCTATTGGAAAAATACATAATTTTCGAATTAAAACTCGAAAAGGTGTTGCTTAACAAAATGGCGAAAGTGACAAAAAATTCAAGTGTATTAGGAAGACGACTACATTAGTTTTTTTTTTTTGGTTTGGTTTTGGTGTATGAGAGTGCCAACACAAATATTCTTGGGAATTTGTAGTTGTCGAGGATTTTTGCACAATAAAGTAAATTAACTACACCAAACAACAATTTCCTTTCTAAAAACGTGGACGTTTTTTCTGCCACGAGTTAGAAGAAGGCAAACGGAAAAAGAAGCACGGTCCGTCCCGTCCGATTCATCCAGAGCTGTTGTGAGCGGGCCAGCAGCAGCACACGTCGAACCGCCGCCAACCAGCCATTGAATAGTAGAAGTAAATGTGAGTGACGTAGAGGACAACCCCATACGGTTTTCTTAATGAGAAAAAAATGTCTTGGTCATTGGTTTTCTGTAAGGGGATTTCGGAAATATTTCCTAAAACGTAATAGAAATTTATATTCCGTGCACAAAAAAATATATATCAAAACAAGTGGTGAAGAATCTTGAGAAAAAAAAAAACTGAAAAATTCTACATATATACGTCGGGTAAAAGTGCAGCTGTGTTGGAAAAACATACGAAAGAAGGTTGTGCTATTTGTTTGCAGATCTGCGGCATTGAATTTGTTAAACAATATGGTGAGTTTTTGTAAATATTTCTTAGACATATGGACAATAAAGCTGTGACTTTAGACGAGGCATAAAAGTCTCGATTGAAAGACAAATGTTGATGAAAAATATCATAACCTCAATTATGGGGGTTTCTATTCGAATAATGAAAATAAAATTAATTTTCCGGTATAATCATATTAATTACTTCGGTTTTTATTTGGTAAAATAAAGTTATGGGGACCAATAAAAATGTTTGCCATTTGTGGTATTTAGCTTTGTTTGATTAATTTTCATTGCATTTTTTTTTTGCTATCACTGCATTTTTACTCCTTCAATACAATTGTCTCACTATACCCTCCTCCTGTTGTGCTCCCTTGTTTGTTCGGGTTTTTGAGGTTATAATTCTCATGTCTATTTAAAAAAGTATTATCAATATATAACACTGCTTGTGTATGCTGGTCGACTGACTCTTTTTGCTAAAGAGAGGAGAAGACACCACAAGCAAGCGCCGTAAAAACATAATATTCTTTTTTGGTTTGGTTTCGTCGTTGCCGCTGTCGTCGTCGGCCGTGTCTAATGCTTGAAAATAAAGCCAAAGACGTGACCTCCTTTTGTTGTTGTTTTTCTCTATTAAAATTGCCGCAGAAATATATGATTTTTTCGAGACGATACCTACCAACATTTGTTCTTGCTTCAACTATTTGAAGATGAAAGTTTTTTTCTTTTGTTAATTAAACAACTGCAAATTTACAATCCAGTGAAAAAAGTTTTGTTAAAGCAAAATTTTCTTTGAATTATTAACAGAATTCAACAAGGTTCTTTTTGTTTTTATTCTTTTGTTGTTTTCCACCATATATATTACAATTACAATGTATACCTATTGGCCATGTATGCGTGTGAGTGTGTGTGACAAAAGCCTATCGGTGTTGTTGTTGTTTTCTCTGTGGTATTGCATAGTTCTGTCTTTGTCACTCTCCTAGCAGAACTAGGCAATGTACTCATTACACTGTAGCCACTTTTCTTTTGAATTTGTTCTCTGTTTTGTTTGTTTTTTTTTTTTCTGTCGGGTTACAATAACTAACGTCACGCCACGGAGTTGCCAATAGTTGTTAAGAATCTCTCTCTCACATAAAAGTGGAAGACAACAAATAGCAGTTATGTCAACTCTGTTATTTGAGGTAGATAAGTTTTGCAAATCATTTGTAAAATGTTCACTAAAACCTTATTTCTTTTCATTATAAATGAAGAAAAATGAAATACAGAGAATAAATCAAGAAATATTGTTTTATTATGGTAAATCAGTGAGGAGAATAATAAATTATTGAAGATTAAATGAGTGTGTAATTAATCAGTTAGTGGCGGTGGCATGTGACGGAAATCAAATTGTTTGGCTGAAGAAGAAATATTGCCAGCGGAACATGACAGCCACTTGGAATCTAGCAAACAAGGTGTAATAGAATAAAAGCAAGGATATGCAATTACCATGCAATGGTCCTTGGTATTTAGGTTTGATATAAAACAAAGTTGTCGGTGTCTGTAATTTAATAGTCCAGGATATCTGCAGATAGAATACCTATCTGAATTCCAATGAAAGGAAAAATATCAACGGGAGTTCTTATCTAAAATTTATTAAGATAATGGCGGAAATAGATTCCTTAACGTAGAGTCATTGTTCGGAGTGGTTTAGTTTGATTCAGTGCTTTGACTGTCGCATCGATCAATCTTGATCCAATCGGGGTAACTCATTCATTCCCTAAGCCAAAGACTAGGAACCCAAAATAGTTTTGCTAAGCATTGTAATATCTCTTAACTGCATGGAACTACCTCTGAATGCTTTAAGATTCGCTGACCCACCCATACTGGTACTGTCATTCTGTTTCCATGTCTCCATTCGTGTTGCTGTGGCGTTGAAATGCTTGTGCTCGGCCTTGTGAATAGAAGGATTTTTGTCTTCGTTGGGGTTTATATCACATGGTAGATATAACCATAATTTTTATTAACAAATTTTTGAATTTGTTAGTCGATGTGAGAGAGGTAAGGTAATGATACCAAAACACAATTGCTAATAATATTAACTTCTTTTGTTTTTCATAGTGCTCAGCTGGATTGCCACTGCTGTTGTGAACAATTTGAAGGCCGAGAAGATCAGCACTCGAATTGCCTTTTTTTGGAATACAAATTGTACACTTGTCTCAAGTTAAATTGATTGGTGTCAATCTGTGCGATTTCCATCCAGAATAGGTATACTCTAAAACCTGTTGTGCCAATAAACAGGTTAAAGACATGTCTTCATTCTCGCTACACGGGACCATAATTTGGCCTGAACGTAAACGTATCCTAAACATTCCATAGCAATTCAAAATTGATCAGCTTTTGTATTTTACAGGAGAACTAAACCACAGCTTTGTAGCTTGACCGTAAACGTTGTACGTATAAGCGCGCGCAATTGAAATATGTAGCTCCTTAAATACTATGACAACTTATACTAGGCACTAATTTACGACTCGGAAAACAGATCTCTGGCATAATTTCCCAAACCCTACTGATTATGTAGCTGTTGTTCAAGTTATAAGCATCTACGTAGATTGTTGTTGTTATTGAAGCAGATTCGCTGAGGTGACAGAACTTGATGGAGTAAAACTCCGATCGTTCTAGATTGTTGACGTTTTGTGAATAATCTGCATAAAATGTTTCGTGTTCCTGAGCTTCAGAGAACTTCTCGTTGCTAAAAACAGTAGAATTTTTAATTTGCTCCAGTTATAAGATCTAAATGGTTTGTATATGTTTAATCTAGGGTTAGCCACTAAACCCGATACCCATAGGTTGAGGGGGGTGGGTGCCTATCACAGCCCCATTCGATCAATATTCGATCTATTTGTGGTCAGATACCACCTACAATTATTTTGTGTTAGTACAAATACCAATCTTGAGTTCATATTAAATGTACAGGGTGAGATAAAAAAAAAACTGCAACAAAGTGCAATGGTGCTGAGTTCTGTTGGAATGTCCAAGGTCTGCGGCCCAAATGTTTGCGTGACCAGGGCTTTAATACAGAATATTTTCGAGATAACATTCGGCATTTATTCTAGTGCCACGGCCGATTAATACGAGCGGAGAGCGACCATCGGCTGTTATGGCGGCCCACACTATCACCGTGACCGGCACCTGAGGTCTGAGAGCCAAACGAAGGTGCACATTTTCAGCTGACCTCTTTGGCAAGTTAACACGATAATTTTGTTTGTTTACAAGCTGCTGGACAACTAATGTTTTCTCATCGGAGAACATTACCCCGAACACATTTTTCAATATTTGCCGAATGGAATATTGCGCTACGTTCAGCTCACGAGCCATTTTTGAACCACTGCGAGGCGGGTTTCGATCAAGTCGCTTCTTCACTTTTCGAACCATTTTTGTTGATTTTGCTGTTTTCTTCCTTGATGTCGGGCTACGCTACCTAAGAGTATCACGGTAAGGAACGATGGTACGAGAAAAAAGATTTATTCACATTTAAATACTGCAGTGCTATAACGACAGCCACTTGTGGTCTTCCAGCCAAAGAAATCACACCATCACGCTTGAATCCCATAACGAATAACTTTTTTTCTGGAAAATTCTCACCAAAATGCTTTTCAACGCTTGTAAACAATATAATGAGCTGTCACTGGAATCATTTTAACAGCTGTCGGACGAGTGGCTTAGAATTGAAATCAGTCTGAAATTGATTGCAGTTTTTTCATCTCACCCTGTATTATCTCTTTGCTACCCACATTTTTTTCTGTTGGCAATTTTCGGGTTAATTTTCTGCTAAAATTAGAAAATACTTGTCTTTAATTCAATTTAAATGTATAGAGCCGTCAGGGCACTCTTTAAATTTTATTTTTTTTTAAGACGATGTCTGCGATTCCTATCTTGTACACCATTTGTTATGGATATTGTTCGATTTTTTACATAAAATATATCTTAGGATAGGTCAGGGTCTTGTCGTAATATCCTTAGGAATTTATTCTTTTTCTATTAGATATGGGTGGTGCATTTTGACACAAGCGTTTTCAAACTTTTTAAAATACGAGTACATAGATTTTTTCTGTTCAACTCTCGTAGGCAAGATTTTTTCGTTGTGATATATTTTTAGGGATTTAATGATAATATTGCCGCATGTATAGAATTGTTTTTTTTTTATTTGCTAAAAATATACCACATTCAACTAAAATTAAACAGAGAAAAAAACATAATGACCGGCACATACCATCGAATGATGATGGCTGGCTGGTGGCTGTTCGCCTGGTTGGCTAGCAGACGTGATGAGTAACCAAAATCAATTCACATTGAAAATAGAAACCATGGCAATACAACAACAATTGCAAAATAACTTATTATTAATACTTTTATTAAGAAAATGGTGGTGGTGCTGTTTGTATCGTCTGCCTCTTGCATTCGTAGCAGCCGCAGCAACAACTTTCGAATTTTGCTGCTGTGATTTAGTTTCGTTTATTTATTTAATTTGTTTCTTGTTAAATAAAAGCCTAGCTATCTTTTTAATGCGATTGTAATACATACAATATGGGGATATCTATCAAACAATATTTGGAGAGTACCTGTAAAATAATGCACCACATTTCGACCATCTCGTAATCGAATTGAGAAGAAAGAAAAGAAAAATAACAATACACTTTTGGTTGTCCGCCGCCACAAAAAATGCGATAAAAGCGACCATACAGAGTGAGATGAAAAAACTGCAACCAACTTAGGACTGCTGTCATTTTAAGCCACTCGTCCGACAGCTCTTAAAATCATTCCGGTGACAGCTCATTATATTGTTTACAAGCGTACAAAAGCATTTTGTTGCAGTTTTTATCTCACCCTGTAATAGCGATTCTCTTTTGGTTGTCCATCGACACAACACCGCCACCAAAAAAAAAAAAAACTGCGATTAAAGCGATTCAGACCAACATACATACCTCCTCCAGCCAAGAATCACAAAAAATATTTTTTTTTTTCTGTGGCGAGGGGAACTTGTTTAACAAGTT